AGTCACAGACAAGGGAGGAGCGCTGGTGTTCGAGGGTGATATTCATGTGGAATTTCTGTGCATGCATGTTTATTGAAGAGACAAATGTTCACAAGATAAAGCGAGATGAACAGAATCTGGTTACAAAATGATGTGTAAGCAGCCATTTGAAATAAACGCAGGCATGGAGAAATGTATTTGCCAAAACGAGTCCTACAAGAGATACATGTCCCGTTGGAGAGCAGACATCCCAGCTAAAGAAAACTCCATGGGGAGAGAGGCCATCACTGATTATGATTTTGTCTGTTGACCCATGAACAATGTACATGGTCAACAAATAAATGCCTCGCCAAAGTGATTGAGTCTTTACAAGCAGGATTACTGGCAGCCTGCATTTTTCTGTAACAAATCAGCATGGTTTTTGTTAATGAAAACTTAAAATATGTGCTATGGAGCTAGCAATAGGGCTAAAACAAACAAAAAAAGTTGAAGAGTAACTGTATCATAGAATAGGCTGTCCTTTCATCAGTTACTGTATATTTAAATTTAAGCATATTACCTGCCACATTCAGGAATTCTTGGAGAGAAGAGACCAAATATATCGTATTTGCTGCTAAATTCCTATCACCTTGTAATGATTGAGCATTTTTATGAAAGCAATTTTTCAAGCATGAATAAATAAAAGCTTTCTATTAGCAATGGTACTTGCTCTCCTGAAGACAGGAAAGTAGAAGTTTCAAGAGTAAATTATCAAACATTCGTTTTTTCCATTTTCGTCTCAAACTGTGATATAGATACTATGCAACAGTAGAAAAGTTTGCCATTAAGTGCACGTGAATCTTGCATGGGCCGACAAGTGAACAATTCCACTTGCATTCATGAAAACATCAGAGTTGTATCCTGGTGTGATCTGAGGCGTTGGACATGTTGACAATTGTAATGACATCTACTGATTCAATCTTGACTTAATGTTGTCTTTGGGGGCTTTTTTTTTTTTCTAAAATGGAGTATTTCTCCTGTTTGTACATTCATTCTGAAATATTTAATCTTTAAGTCATAACAAATTGCAGCCAAAGACAAAATTTCTTCATGCTTTAAAGTGGGAAATTATGAGCAAGTTCTATGGAATTTCTAGCATACAACGAAAAGCACACAATTGTAACCATGGATTTGAAATAGTTGATAAGGTCGAAGGATGGTGAATAATGATGCACTTAGCTGATCTGAGTGTTGGATGTGGTGAAGAAAGTGAACTGAAGTGCAAGTAAAGACCTGTGGGACTCAGTGTCCTTGAACCATGAGGGTAAATGGAACAGGTCGTTTGAAAACTCAAGAATGCCTTTGTTGTTCATTGCTTTGCATTCAGTGCCAAGCACAGCACCTGACAACTTAGTGGATATATAATATTTGTTATATAAATGAACAGGTGAATGAAAAGCAAGATAATAAGCCGAGGTTTTCAGAATCACTGGACACACTCTGTTAGACTGCTGGGAGGTTGAAATTTTAAAATATTTTTTTTGATCCATGAATACAAGATACATTTCCACTTCTTTATGTCTTCTTCAATTTCTTTCTTGTGTTGTTTTCATGTAGAGACCCCTTGTTGCCTCAATTAAAATTTTCCTCAGGTATTTTGTTTGTATGTATCTACTGGAATTGAATGGAATTGTTTGCTCTTTATTATTGCTTTTTCTTTATTTCTTATTTTGTTCAGTAGTGCACTAACAGTTTATTGATTCCAGTGTTTTTTCTTCACAGCTTCCTTAGGGTTTTATATGCATACGGTCATATCATCAGAATATAAAGATTTAACTCCATCATTTCGAGTTTTGCTATCCCTTTTTCCTCTTCCCTCGCCTACTTGTTCTGGTGAGATCGCCCAGTAGTAGTACTTAGCTAGGTGGAGAGTGGGCAGCCTGGACTTACTCCAGATATTAAGGGAAAAGCTTTCAGCTCGTCCCGTTTCAGCGTGATGTTGGCTGTGAGCTTGTCTTTTAAGATCTTCGTTGTAGTGACGTACATTTTGCCTGTACTTATGGTGTTGAAAGATTTTGGCAGAGAAAGCTGTTGATTTTCTCAAGTTCCTTTTTCTGCGTTTATTGAAATGATTGGGAAGTTGAGTTTTTATACAGGTATGAGGTGTCATGAATTACAAAGGGGCCTTGTAACGGGGGTCAAGTGATAGGGCCCATTTTAAGTACGTGGAATGAAGTGGGGAAAAAAGGAAACGAAGAACAGTAATTCCTGAGACTCTGTGGTGAGAATCTTTTGAGGTCATTTCAGCTGCATATGAGGGAAGCCTAACCATTCAGAGCAAGAGCGTCTGGGACAGGAGAGGTATACATGAAAGTCTTTCTTGTGGACTGGGAGGTTTAAATGTGGTCACCTGTGTCCAAGGGATAAACGGGGCAAACTTGGTATCACAGAATGCAAAAACTGGATCACGTTTTCTGAGTTGCTATTAATTGCTTCTGAGTGACAGGTTTATCAATGAACATATTGTAACTAAGCCAGTCTCTCCCAGTATTGAACTATTTAAATAGCAATTACTTTTATCAAGTGTGAAAAAGCTGTTGGAAAGCAAGATCTTTCAAACTTAGTGCACTATCTTGTCAAGGGAATTGCAGTACTCAGAAAAAAAATCCCAACTCATAAATATATGATAGTGATAAGACAAAGATATACAAAGCAATTTCCTATCAAAATATTAGGTTCACCTAGGAAACTTAAGTAAATCTCTTCTGATTGCTACCAGCGAGTAAGGGATCATCAGGGCTCACTTGTGTTGACTCCATTTGAATGGTGGTGTAAACCAACACTTCTGTGTATATAGCAAGATTATTATAACCAACTGCCTCAAACTAATTCTAGAGTCCTAATATCTGTAATTCATTTACTTTACTGTTTGATTACTTCATGCAATATTTACTCGTATTGAATCACTCAGAATTTCCATGACGTAGAAGCTACTTGTTGGGTTTTAATTTATGCAAGAATTAAGTAGGTATCTCTGGAGTCTGAGTGAGTCATTTCCTGGGTATTCTGATTTGGCGGCTTTTGGACAACAAGTAGGATAATGACAGCCGCTGCCATTTGGTGATGGTTGTGTTGTTTTGATGGGTCAAGTAGAGCTGAATGTATCCTGAAAAATAGAAACATAAATCATTGATGTGTACTTCTCTCAATGAACAAGTCAAAAATTAAAAATACGCTTTGCTTCAGGTGTTAGATTGATATTAACAGGTGCCTGGAATTCATATGCCCATGAGTCCTCATTAGCTTAGTGAAAAGGAGACTGTTTGCAGGGCTACAATAATTGCATTCTTTCTTCGCTACGCTGTGAAACTGCTCTTGTCTTTCTTCCTCAGTTTTGTACCACTGTGAAGGATTTCCCAAAGATTTCACCTAGAGCCCTAGGAGAGTGTCATTCAAGAAGCATCTCAGATTGAGGCCAGCAGGTGTTTGCTCCTCACAGGATAGCAGAGAACTGACATCATCTGGATATTCTGCACACATTTCTAAGGATGTCAAGAGTCCTTAGCTCCAATTATGTACATTAAAATTAATTAGTGCAAGCTACTGCGAAGCCTCTGATAAACCCAGTCCAGAGCAATATCCATCTGGACATGCTGAGCACACCTTAGGGCCAATTCGCGTGATTCCTGTTGGGTTAAGAAGGGGCGGTGGGGGCACACATGCTGGTGAAGCAGAATCACACAGCAGGAGGCAGAGGTGGAGATGCAGGAACGCCCACCCAGAGCTGCTTGGTTCTGAACTTCCTGTGTTTTGCAGTTGTGTGTATTTCACCTGCTGCAAACACATTCTTGTTCTTGCACTCCACTGAAAACTGAGAAGCCCCCACTGTCCTTGGGTAGGTTTCTCACCTAGAACTATAATGCACCAGACATAGCCCATACACCTAGCCAGTGTCAGAACTGCGCTTTCCTGGTCTGGCAAGGAGTGCTGTTCTCTGTTACCTGCCTTTACACATCCCCCTGAAGAGTCTCAGCTCAGCACCAGGAAATGCAGCTCTTTATGTTCCATCAACACACGGCGCTTGTTTGAAATTTCAGGTTTGCATTGAGTGGGCTTGGTCAAGTTATTACCTGCCACAGACTGCAATTTATTATGCATACATACAAAGACTAGATGTTTTATTTGTTAAGCCCATTTTGGAAGTTAAGCAAAGTATTTCTGATTACTATGAATGTAATATAAATTCAAAGACATGAGCTCTTTCTTGAGCATTCAGCTCAGGTATTAGCCAAATGAGAAGTCTTAATGTGCTCTCAAAGGTAATCAGGCACCATCTATTCAAATAACATCTTTTATCACATTGTACTGCACTTATTTACTCATTAGATTCTGAGGGACTGACACATAACATGCTTCCTTAGATGGTTGGGACCTCCAAGCATCCAGAGACAGGTGGCTCAGGGTTGTGGAAGTTTAGGGGCAAGCCAGTGCATCATCTCTATCTTTAGGGGAATTTGATGGAAGACTTATTCACTCTACCTGTAGGGGTTTAAATCATCACTGCACTTATTAAAGACAACTTCATTCAGAGGAAATCCTGCTGTAATTGCCTCTGGCCCATATCCCCTTAGAAAACTGGGAGATGAACATGGAACTACATTAGAGTGAAAGGTGACTTTGAGCGTCATAATAGCAAAAGGGGAAATTCCACGATCAATCACTGCATTTCATTTGAATTAGTCAACTGTTTTCTGGCATAGGACACATTTAGATGGAGACTGCTGTGGGGATATTGGCCTCAGGGACCAAGTGTTTTACCCAGCCGTTAATGGCATTGGATTCTGAGGAAATAAAGGCCTCAAGCTTTCATGAATATTAATTTTGCCTCACATTTTTAACATGTCTATTTTCATGCATTTATTGTCCACTATAGAGTAGACCACATGAGTGAGCTACACATGCATAAAGATAAGTGGGGGATGGGGTTGTTAGGGATAAAGATGGTTGCAGTGACAGATACAACTCTCTCTTTTCTTGTGCAGATTCTGGCTTTCCACTTGCCCCCCAAAGCTAACTGCAGCATGCTGAAAAGGAAGCAGAGCTCCAGGGTGGAGGCCCAGCCAGTTACTGACTTCGGTCCTGACGAATCTCTCTCAGACAACGCAGACATCCTCTGGATTAACAAGCCAGTAAGTTTCTTTTTTGAAGTAGAGGGAAGCACCAGCTGACGTGAGGGATTCATTAATTCAAACATTGCAGAACATTGGCTTTGAAATGTCTCACTGAGCTGCAGTAGTAGAATATGGGGGAGTCTTGGTTCCTAGAAGTTGAGAACAATTTGATGAAATTGATGGGTGCCCCGTGAGTGACTGAATGTGGGAAGATAGGCCAGGCGGTCTGGTCCACGTCCCTGCTCCCTCTGCTCAGAGGTGCACACTACAGAGATGGCAGTGTGTTCCAGTGCAACGTCCTCTGCTTCACTGGCCTCGGCATGTCTGACTCTGTGAGATGATAAGCATTTTTTTTTTAAATTAAAGGTCTCCTGAGTTGCAAGCATTGGATAAAAGCAAAGGTTAATGAGATAGTGCATAGTGGCTCTGCAGAAGGTAGTCACCTTCTATGGCTAATTAAATTGATGAGAACTTGAGAGGAAGGTCAGCTGTGCTGGGTGTCATTGTTTACTAGACACCATAGCAACCAGAACTAAAGGGAAATGGCAAATTCATTATTCTTGGAAGCTCAGCTTTACAGAACAAAGTAGGAACGTTTTCAGCAGCTAGCTCGCAGTAGACGCTGAAGTGATGGAAGAGACATAACCTGCAGACCTCTTGCACTGCTCGTCTCCCCCTGGCTGGAGTGGAGCATCTGCCTGGGCTCCTCCTGTCCTTTTTCAGCCTATTTCTTGCTTTTTTCAAAACTTTAAAAAAATCTATTTTTTGGCGAAGGAAACTAGGCAGGTGGGCAGACACACAGAGCTTTCTCGATTGCTCCAATTCTCCTAAAACCTGCTTCCTGGGCTGCAGCGGGGCCACTGCTGAAGCTGAGAGGACAAGCTGGTCCTCCGCCACTGGGGTCTTGATCCATCGCACTGCTGTCTCCCAGGATCTATAATGGCAGAAGAAGCAGGAGTTAAGGGGCCTAGCCAGGAATCAAACCCAGATACTCCACAGGAGACTTGGGTGTCTTAACTGCTAGAGGAAATACTGGCTCGCTCTAGTGTTTTGTCCTCTAACCTCTAGGCTAATTCCCCAGCCTGGCACACATTTCTCTCCATTATGTCTGTGCATTCTATTTTCCTTTTGCTTTCCAATCACTAGAAGCTCCCTATTTGCTCTATTGTAAAGTAAATGTGTTGATATGATATTCATGGCTTTTTGTACTATGGCTCTAGCCTGCCCAGCCAGAGTCCTTCATTTTTTCACATATACTGTGCACTCAGGCAACATCAGTGCTGTCCCAGGATCCTTGGCTTGTTCACATTGATTTCCTTTGCCCAGGGACTTGCCTGGCCTGGAAGACACTTTCCTCACTCCCCTGGTAGTCAGATCCTCCTTGTGTACTAAAGCCGGCCAAGATGCCGGCCCATCCCCATGCCCCTGCCTGTCTTCACCACTCACTGAAGGCAGCATGGCCCTCCTTGCTTTCCACTTCTGCTATTTTGCAACTCTAGACAAACAGTGTGTATTACATATGAATATGTACTCTTCTAATACATATTGCAGAATGGTTATGGGTCAGAGCCCGGATGCTCTCTTGGACAGTGGGCTGATTCTCCCTGTCCATGAAATTGAACGGACCAGGGAAGAAAGCAGTTGCTACTTCTGTGTGTGTCTACCCACGGAGAGCTGTTGGAGAGCTTCTGCAGAAGACGGCTTTGTGGAAGTGACCCCATAGCGTTACTGAAGTCATTAATGCTTGGTTTTAATGTTTCCTTCAAATTCAAAAGACAATTGGTCCAGAAGAACTCACCTTTTATAGCCTTTTGCGTTATTAGATTGTGTATTGTAGGTGTTCAGGCAGGGATAAATTCATCCATTGATTCTTTTTTTTTAAGTTTTATTTATTTGTTTTAATTGCTATTAACATTGTATTATGTGATACAGTTTTATAGGCACTGGGATTCCCCCCACCCCTCCCACAACCCTCCCCCCATAGTGGATTCCTCCACCTTGCTGTATAACCACAGTTCAAGTTCAGTTGAGCTTCCTTCATTGCAAGCATATACCTAGCATAAAGTCCAGCATCTTATTGTCCAGATAAATTCAGTGACTTCTTGGGGAGACCTTCTCTGGTCTGAAGGTAGAGCTAACAGAGTAAAATTCCGGTCAGTTAAAAGCCCCAACAAAACCTCACCATCAATATACAATGTTATGGAATTAATTGACATAGTATTGAGTAAACAATATGTTAAAAATAATGCAAGTTCAATTCTTCAAAACACCTGGCACCCCTTGATTCTTAATGTCTCTAAATCACACAAAAAACATTAAATATATGCTCAAAATATATTGCAGCTTCAGGAATGTAAGTGGCATGGAATTAGCAGCAGTATGCCTTCATGAAATACTGTAACTTTTCAGATAAACATTATAACCCACTCATTAGCCTAGAAGCACCTAAGTCCCCTCTAAGTGCTGACAGTCTCACAGTCTTTCTTCTGGTTTTGTTTGTTTGTTTGTTTTGCTTTTTTTGGAACTGGGGTATAATATAGAATGTGGCATAGCTGGCAAAACTGCTACCTGCTACTCTAGCTTCCCATAAGAGCTATAGCTTGAGTTCTGGCTCTTCCACAAGAGTCCAGCACCATGTTAATACATGTGGGAAACACAGGAAGATGGCCAATGACTGGACCCCTGCCACGAGATAGATTTACATGGCATTCCTGCTCCTGGCTCCAGCGTGGCCCAGATCTGGCTGGCGAGGCCATTTGTAGGTTGAACCTTCCTTTTTTCTCCTTCCACTCCATATATCTCTGTAACACTTCCCTTCAATGAAACTTTTTAAAAAATCTTTTTAAAAACAAATAAACATATCTGTGTATCTATGCAAGATAAGTTAATATTTTAATTATGTTTAAGAATTGTGTACTGGTTAATTCTGTAATCTTAATTATATGCATCTGGCATGCAGATGCAATGAAACAGTTTTTACCCAGGCTACCAGTTTTCATAATGAAATATTTTATGTGGATAATTATGTGGTGTGAATATATAAATATACAAACACACCTACATCTACTCATCTTTTTGATTCCTCATCTTTTTAGGGTTAAGGAAAATCTTCAATCTGTGGATAAGCTGCTAGGAAAACACAGTAGCTTGCTTTTTAATCTTGGAAGAACTACCTATATAACATATGGGTAATATATGCTCTGCAGAATAAAGAGAAGATGCCATTTATTAGCTTTCAAAAATGTAGGGTGAATCTAGACTTTTAAAAATATCTTTGTGCAAGATTTTACTTCAATACAAATAGAAACCCTTTTATGTTGGAAGTGCTATACATGAAGTCCTTCATAAAAAGTATTTGGGACCCGAAGTGATAAACTATCGTGCTTAACTACTAGGGAAGCTCAGTGAAGGAAATATGGTTCCACATTCTCGATGATGGTCCTACAGGAAAACAAAATGGTCAAAGTGGGTAACTCCGGTTTCTTTATGAGTCAATTTCCAGCATATATTATAATTGAACTAGAATCTTTCTGTATTGTGACTTGATACTCTAGAAATTGACAAAGTTTGGGGTAGTCTGACCAGCTTCAGATCTTGGCATTGGCTTTTACTAATGGCTGACCAAAGGAATGCCTTTTAGGTTTCCTAAGACCCCATGTGTCCGCGTGGGACACAAGCTGTTTTCAAAGGGAAGCAATGTAAATGGGGAAATACTTAGCACATTATGTAAATGGTGAAAATGTTCGCAGGTACTGGCTTCCTCTTCCCTGCACATTTGTGAGATAGTCTGAGCTCATATTCGGTATTGTACAGAGTTTGTCATACAGTTGGCTGCAGCGCATGATAACGGGCGCCATCCTTGCAGTGGGTCCACTCGTTGCTGCGAATCTGTGCCATCATCAGCGTCATCTCCGTGTGTATGAACACGCCCATGACCTTCGAGCACTACCCTCCCCTGCAGTATGTCACCTTCACGCTGGATACTCTCCTGATGTTTCTTTACACGGCAGAGATGATAGCAAAAATGCACATCCGGGGGATCGTCAAGGTGAGTGTACTGAACTGCACAGCGCATCTTAACCGGTCTATTGTTACCCATTTCGGAGTCTTCCCTCCTCCCCCCCATGGATCTGGTCTCCTGGAAAGGAGCACTGTGGCGGCCTGTGTTCTCGTGGCGGTAGTTGCTGTTGCTCTGGTTCGTTTGCATTTTCCATTCCCCTGCAATCGCAAGTTCTCTGAGGCACATTTCTGCGGATGCAGTTATGTATCCTCAGGTTTGCATTCGGAAGTCTCTGTCAGTATGCCACCAGTGATTTCTGCTGATCGCAGGAGGAAGGGCCATCACCATAACCATGAAGAGTGCATTTCAGGCTGATTTCAAATTTGTCCCAGTCTTCCAAGTGCTGGGTTTGAATAAGTTTAAGTTCAGGCAGTTAGCAGCTGTCTCAGGAGGTCAGTTCAGGTGAAAGTTGGTGTTGGGCCAGTGCTGAAGTATCTTTTAGGCAACGTTCCTGGACCTTGTCCAGCCCCAATTGCTATTCTGTGGCTCACAATGGCCTTGGATGACCCTGGCACTTATGTGTATTGGTCATCCAGTGCACTGAAAAATCGGCAGATTCTGGGTGGCGCAGTTTATGACTCAAACCACCAAGTACTGACTTTTTTAGGGTTCAAACGCAGGTGTCCACCTTCTGTAATTTTTTTTACCATTCATTTATTTTTATCAGAAAGTCAGATATACAGAGAGGAGGAGAGATAGAGTGGAAGATCTTCCGTCCAATGATTCACTCCCTAAGTGACTGCAATGGCCAGAGCTGAGCCAATCCGAAGCTAGGAACCAGAGGCTTCTTCCGGGTCTCCCACATGGGTGCAGTGGACATGAACCGGCACCCATATGTGATCCTGACGGGTACAAGGCAAGGACTTTAGCCCCTAGGCTACTGTACCAGGCCCACACCTATAATTTTAAATGAAATATGAACACACAACATTTTGTTGCAATGAAACATTTGTGCCTTAAATTCTTAGAACTTTTAAAATTTTATTTTTAACTTTTGATTAACTTTTGACTCAGTCAATGTGATTTGTAGATACAATTCAAGAATATAATGATATCCCTTCCCCTCCACTCTCACCTTCTCACTCTCCTTCCTTCTCCCTTTATCTTTTGTTTGTTTTTTTGAGATACCATGTTTAAATTTACATTAGATAATAAAAGCTTAATAATTCACTGAAAAGGTGCTTGATAAAACAGCAAGAAGAGTCTAGTTTACTGGAAATATAGCTAATAGGTGGGATGACAGAACATTAAAAATATGGTAGTATGGCACTCTGAGCAAGGGGCTTGGCACAATGGGCACACATTGTGCCGTAGTCTCATAGAACAGAGGCAAACTTGATACAAATGTTATGTGTTCTTTCTGAATTAGAGAACACTAAATGAACAAATATCTGAGATACCTAAATATGACTAACTCAAGCAATAAGTTAATAAGGAAAAAAGCTATGACCAAGTTGTTTTCAAAAAGCTGTACAATATTCCTATAAACTATCCAGCATTTTCTTTTTCCATGACTATTTGGATGATTATTTATTGAAGGCAAAAGTATTTTCTTTGCTTTCAATATAAAGGAATTAAAAACAGATATGTTTATATATATATTTAATTTACTGAAAATGTAATACAGATGTTGGCTTGTTCTTTTCAAAAATATTTTTTATTTATTTCCTTGCTTACTTACTTGAAAGAGTTACTAAGAGAGAGAAACAGAAGCGAGATCTTCATCTACAGATTCGCTTCCCAGAAGGAAGCTGGAGGCGGGAGCTGTATCTGGGTCACTTGGGCAGATGGCAGGGGCCCAAGTACTTGGGCCATTTTCTGTTTTTCCCAAACACATGAACAGGGAATTGGTCAGAAGTGGAGCAGCCAGGAAGTTACCCAGCACCCATATGGGATGCTGATGTTGAAGTCGGCAACTTGACCCTGTACGCCACAGCAACAGGCCCACTAGTGTTGAATTGCTAATGTTGTTGCGGAGTAATCTACATAACTGCATACCTAGTTAAAAGATATTCAGTGTGGCTAAATATGAGGTCTGAGTATCCTGAACTAAGGTCTGCATATGTGTTCTCACTTTTCACCATCACTATCTATTCCTATCCTTTGTAGTAGAGCCCACTGATATCTTTTACAATGTGAAATCCAAGTCATAATTTTATCATTTTTATGTCACATACTTCTCAAACATATGTTTGATGAAAGACTAAATTTAGGTTGAAATTACCTTATCACATTAAAAACAAATTTTAATCAGCATTAGTTTTATCAAAGTATCACCTGTCACATTAAATTTACATTGTTAATTTTAACATCTTTGTATTTTTTATTTGTAAATTTGCTTTAATTTTAAAGTTACCTGAGGAAAAAATATATATGGTAAGTTATAGTAAAAATATACCAGTCCATATGGAGATCTCTGAGGACTTTTTCTGTTGCCTAAGTTAGAATAGCTATGCCCTCATTGTTAGTTTTTTAGACTTTCAGTAAGCAGCTGTCTGTTAACAAACTTGTATTTGCTATTTTTCTACCTTCATTTTCTAACAGCACTGAAATTACTTCTTATATATATTTTTGATTCAATCTTTACACCAGACTGATTTGTACGTATGTGCTGAGCTGGTTCAATTATAGGACCTCGCTTGTGTTTGTCCATACTCACACATGGGCCATATGAATATTTACATTGGATTTTAATCATCAGGATACATTTCACATTGTTTGAAATACAGTTTTACAGATATTCAATACTTGATGTATCTTGACTTTTAACTGGGATGTTTCCAAGGAGTGGTCTGATTTAGATATTAAATGAGCCACCCCAGGCTTCACTGTCTTCTGTGTGGACGAGATTGTGAGTTCATGTGTACAGAGGGCAGTGGCTTAGGAAATGCCGGCCTTCTATTTGTGAAGGAGTGTTTCTGTAAAACTGTAGTAGCACATGATAACATTCTTATAGAAGCAAATCAGAACACCATTGCCCATCCATCACATATAGCTCCTTAAAATTATACCTGCCCTATTTTGGTAATAGTACAGTCTACATTAATTTCATACATAATAGATAACATAATATTTATGAAATTATGTACAATAAGCCCAGAATCTTTATTTTTCAAAACAAAAGCATAGGAGCTGTGGCTTTGCAGCATTGATCAGTACTTATATTGACCTATTGGTTTCCTGGTATCTTAAAGGGTTGTAGATAAATGTAAAACATTTAAGATATTTGTAACTTAAGGTGCTATAGAGTGCAACGCAAATACAACAGAATATTCTACTCTAAAGCTCATGCATAATTCTTACCATTTCATTTAATTATTTGACCACTGTTTGTTAAACACTGAAAATATACTCTTAACTGCCATGGGAGAAGGGAAATGGACAAGACCAAGCAGAGCCTCTGGTCAAAGAAATTCCTGGCCACTTTGTGGGATGAATTGCACATACACAGGAATCATCATTTTCTACATAAAGTATGATGCTGAAAAACATTTCTATGAATACAGTGACAGAAAGTGAGAGACTATTTCCACTAATTTGAATGGTACCTATATCATGGAATCGCCCTGTATCAGCTATGTAATAATCCAAATGGTGTATTTCTGCATGATAAAAATTTATTTAGGACACTACTCAGTTATTTAAGTTTACCATATAAATAATTTTATACAATTATTTGTGTAAAAAACATTTTGTAAATAGAAAGAAAATAACATATTAAATTACTGTCTACCGTATTTCATGGAATTGCTGATGTCAGCAATGGTAAGAAGATAATAACATCATTTGGTAGGTTCACAGGGCTATAAAAATTGTAAATGCTGTTAATTATATTTTGATTTTAACATTGCAATTACTGCATTGATTGCAAGATGCATCCTAAAGAAACCCGGGAAGAATTTAGTGATGTACCATTATTAAACAGGTAAGTGGCATAACGATGCAGCCCAAAGGAGAATGGTAGAGATTACTCATATTCATATATAATCTTTGGAGGGATTCATGGACAACTTAGATGTCTTCCCAAGTACAAATACAGATTCATTATAGCTGCTCGTCTAGTTTTATAGTGACTTGAGGGCCAAATAGGTTTCCAATATTGGTAGAGTAAGAATCCAGGTAATGTATAATAGGCCAGTGTTTTGTGCAGGTGTTTTATAGTGACCTGTACAAACATAAAGGGAGGCGGGATTATCCACAAAAAAAGGAGAAAATATGCTTGAGGAGCCTACAGAAGGCATAAAGAAGGGGGAAATTGATGTGCTGCTGTGAATGATAAGTAGGTGAGGTCTCCAGCAAGGGGCCAAAAGAAGGCCAATGAAGAGTTGCATAGAGAAAAGGCCAAGATGCTGAGCGTGGAGCAGTCTGGCGTTTTAGAGAATGCTTAAACAGTCAGAGGAATCAGGTGTGGAATGCACAAGGAGCAGCTGGAGCAGCTGGGAGTGCAATGGACCATTGTGGAAGCACTGGCACACTCTGCCAGACCTGACTTCATTCTGTGGTCAGTTAAGCACATTGGGGATTTTAATGTGAGAGTGTCACAATCTGATTTATGTTTGAGAAGTTTGCTCTGGAGGTAAGATGCTGGATGCATAGCTGGAGAGAGAAATGGAAGCAGTGAGTCCTATCAGCAAGAGCTGCCCTTACGCACGTTATTGTTGTTGTTAGAAAGACTTGTGTGTCTTAAGGATTTCCAATATCTCCAAACTTGAAATCATCTTCCAATGAATTCCAACTTCCCAATAATCTGCTTCTAATTGCCTCCCCACTAATTCCTTTTCCCAGAAGCGTTCTAGCTCCCTGAATCCCTAGAGGTAAAAGTAAGCCATCTGGATGATGTATTGTTGTGGAGTGGGGTTGTTGTGCTGGGTTGCTGTGGAGCATTCCATGTCTTTCATACTGAGAATTCTGCCGACAGTTCTAGGTTGTCTATATTTCATCTGGCAGTAGACCGAGGTAGAGGTAGCACATATCCTTAGAGCACTCTTGAAGTAATAAATAATAATGCTAAGAGGCAGTGAAACATGGGCTGTGGGCCTGTGGGACAACCAATCATGTGCTCACCCAATTATCCCAGAACATATTCTTTTGTGACTATAAATATGTCCCTGTGAATAAGTTTGGTTTCTTTGCTTGTGAGACTCTTGAATGGCACTTGAAGTTCCTCCCTTTCACTGTGTAACTGATTGGCAGCATCTGTGTATTCACCTTTATGAAACTCAACAGATGGCTCTTGAATGACAGCTCACCAGCAATCAGCTCCTTTTTGCCCGTAGCTCAGACACTCTGCCCTCTATTTCTTGTTGATGCAACAAACAAATTAAAACCTTTCTTTCCTACTTGAGTTACTTAAATGACTCAATTACTGCTGGGAAATCATCTCTGTTAAGTTTTCCTGGAAGCAGGGAAAAAAACAATTAATGGCTTACAAATATTACAGTTCATGCATTAACAGTAGGATTTTAAAGGATCTACAAATACTTTCGAATTCAGTCTTAGCAAATTTCATTTAATTATGGTTACAGCTTTGAAAATATATGTGCAAAGAAATTATTTAATAAAACTTTCAGACACAAAATGTAATCTAAGATTATATTTCAAACTGCCAGTTTTTAGTCTGTACTCCTTTTTATTACTGAAAGATATTTAAGCTTACTGTTGTTTAATGATCATTGGCAATGATTAATATGATAGCAGTGCTTGTTCCTACCAATTCAATTGAATTGAAAACTCCATTGTGGCACAAAAAATATACAAGCCAAGTCTGTTTCTGTCTGGGTGGCAAGTCTGGTTTAGGTGAACTTTTCTCATCTAGGACGCATCCCAATGGTGATCACCTTTGTCCTCTCGTGATCATACGGGCAGAACCTTAGTCTATGATGTTAAGCCTTTTTCAGCTCTTTGTCATGTGGTGTTAGGGGCATCTTTCTGAATGATCAATATGAAAGGGTATTATAGGTTGTCAGGAAGGAAAAGAAGGAGGAAAGAAGGAGGAGACTTGGGGAAAAAGTTGATTAATGAAGCTATGCTAAAGCATAATAAAGTTTAAGAAATTCTGAGGTCCTATTCCATAGTAGGTGACCATAGATCAATGATAATGTACTGTATATTTCTCTCAAAAACAAAAAATCCCCAAAGATAGGATTTGGGATGTTTTAAAATGAAAAAAAAAAAGTTAAGCCTTGGAGGATAATATAGCTCTACTGAATATTAATAAAAATATATAGCATTTCTGGGGCTGGTGTTGTAGTGTAGCAGGCCTGGTTGGCATCCATTATGGACACTGGTTTGTGTCCTTGCTGCTCCACTTCCAATCCAGCTCCCTGTTCATGCCTGGGAAAGCAGTAGAGGATGGCTCAGGCCTTGGTGTCCCTGGACCTGCATGAGAAACCCAGAAGCTCCTGGAGCTTGACTTCAGATTGGCCCATAAGCCTGGAGGTAAGGTGCCTCTCAGAAGGAGAGAGGGAGAGACACCAAAGGTTTGAGGGAAGGTCTTCCGCTTTTTAGCCTTTCCTGACCCCTCCTTGTTGGGCGGGAACCCATAGGTAACGGTTCTCCATTGGTGGTCTCTTAACCAGTTGGGAAATCGGTGCCACCCACTCGAAGGTGTGGCCAAGACTTCGGCAGACTTAGAAGGTCTCAATTTTAAGTAAGTGAAACAACAAGTAAATAAAAGAAATAAAGTATCAATGCTGTTTTGAAAATTTATAAGCTCATCCAATTGGGGTGGCTCTGTATTCAATAATATATATTTTCTATTTTTCCTGTCTAACATTTAGTTATTAATTGTTCCAACTTTCAAAATGTTCTCTTCTGTGTCCCATAACATTTCAACTTTTGTGTTTGGAATCCTTTGCATTTTTTAAAAGGTCACCACAATGTGTAATTTTAAAATTAAGTGTTTTTCTTTCTCTTTTTGTTCAATGTACATAAATAATCTCTACCATATTTTAAGGTTTTATGAAGGTCAGTTTGAAAATATGCATTTTTATTTTCCTTCATAACACTTACTGACATAGAATATTCACAGGGTATGTATTTTACACTTTAGGTAATTAATTGTAACCTGGAACAAAATTGGATTCAGCAAAAGCTCCATTTTAGGTTGAATTGTATATATAGATTATGACTCTATGTGAAGACTCACTCAGAAACCCAATTAATTGTGTGTTCTACAAGTGAAATATGTGCTTATATTAAAAAAAATGCTCCCAGAAATTTTGAAAACAACTTAACATCCTTTATTGTTGCATGTTTTGTGTGTGTATGTGTTAATGCCTGTATCAACCTGGCAGTATTCTAAAACAGTACTTGTGTCCTCCTTCACTATGAATCACCTCCTGATAAACACGACAAGTTAATAGGGTCATTTTCCCTGTTACCAAAACCAACCCACGTTGTTTGCTTCCATATCTCTTTTGAGTGTTTTCATATTTATGAGTCGCTAAGTTTGGTTGATGATCTTGCCACTTGTAAGTGCTTTTTGAGGGCAAACTATCATAGTGTCTTCCTCAACTCTCCATTGAATTGATCTTCTCATCTTCTCTACCATTTTTATAGCTGTGTATAGAAATTATCCTGCCATTAAGCATAAGTGGAATGCGTTTACACCTGTTTTTCTACAAGAGTGTGGGTAGTGGTATGGGTGTGTGTCTTAACAAGACGTTGTTCCTGCTCTTCTGTGAAATGGGTACTTAACTACATTTATTAAGTCACTCTAGACTTTGTGTCTGGTTCTGATCACTTTCATGAGATACTTTTTAATACCATTAGTTTTGTAAACAATTAGTTATTTCTGAAAACTTCTCAAAGGAATAGTTTGATAACTCATCTCTTACTTATAGTGGAAAATTACAGAAGTTATTTTAGTTTCCTAAATATCCTGCAAGATATTTTTCCAATTTCATTAAAATCCTGGCAACCTGTGCCTATTTGTTTTCTTAGCAGGTTCAATCAGAGTTTAATTTTAATTTTGCCTATGACAGGATTTAGAGCCCAGTTATATAGATAACTGTAGAACTAGTGGTTTACCAAGATAGTCTTTAGAGGAAAAACACCTTTCAATTTAAGATTCGTAATTCTAATCTCATGAATGTTTCATATTATTTTATTAATCCAAGGGGAATTTTTTTAATATTTTCACTTTATTCAAATATACATCCAAATGATACAAATATATTCCTTATTTAAAACAATAAAGGCAGAGTATCTTCTTTATCTGTCTTTTGTATGAATAATGTCAAAATTAAGGTCATTATATGTTCTCTTTGAAAATTAAGGAAAATATTTTCACTTTCTTTTTTTAGTTTGCAGAGAATTCCTGGTTAATTTGTTCTTCAATTGGGATTGATCAACCCCATTAAGGACTTTTGTGTTGATGTTGATTATTGTGGGTTCTCAAACCCGGCTGGCAGCTAGCCTTTCAAAAGGATGATCTGGGTTCTTAGAAGGTGGAGCACATGTGACAGGGCCAGAGAAACAGGGGATTTCTCCTTCCCATTATTTTAAAATTTAACACCCAGGTTCTGCAGTTGCTTCCCTCTTGAGTAGTGCCCTTTGAAACATTTGAAGTCTTCCTTTTGAAAAGCTGTTCCATTATGATACAGAAAATGCAGATTGCCATTGCTGGATTCATAGGTCAGTATCCTCACCAGAGATGTTTATTTTTAATATTTGATCACCTGATAATGCCTTCTAAATTTGTTTGTAGGGGGATAGTTCCTATGTGAAAGATCGCTGGTGTGTTTTTGATGGATTTATGGTCTTCTGCCTCTGGGTTTCATTGGTGCTACAGGTACTGAAACATTTTCGAAATGTTTTGAAATGGAGAGTCTCCAAAATGAGTATTAGTTTTTACTGAAGCTTTAAAGAGAGAAGTTGAAGAATATGTATCAAATGTTATTATATAATACTCTGCAGCATTATGTTTATTTCAAATGTTGACAGAAAAGTTTAATTTTAATTATTGTTGCTTACAGTTGCAAGCATTTTTCAGTAGCTATTGGACAGCAGTGCTCTAGGAAATTATCTTTTCTTAAGCATCTCTAAAACTATATTCATTGAAATAAAGAAAATGGTAGGAGATACTTCTGAATTTATGACATAAACATGAAATTTAGAAATCAAAGTTCTAGTCTATTGGGTAACTAAATCCTAGTTAAAAGCAACTTAGTAGCTATAAGTAGGATACATGTTGGTCAACATAAAATACTAGTTGCTGATACAGCATAAGGGGAGGGATTTCTTCCCAAGAATTCTTTTAGGCATAATTTTGCACTTAATTTACCAAAGTAGCTTTATACTTTTTATTTGATTTGCTCTTGAGAAGAAAACACGAGATCTAACCTCTGTAACAATTGTTTACATGTACAATCTGTTGATGACAGATATATTACATGGCGAATCTAGAGCATTTTTCATCTACTCATTAAATATTCAGAATGAATAAGTTCATAGTCCATTCTGCCGGCTCTTCTTGGTGTTTGTTCATAAGCTGTCCTTCCTTATCTTTATAACATTCATCTCTCCAGTGATCTGAGTGCATCCCACACACTAATGCCTTCCACTTAATAGCCACTGTTTTAGATAAGTTTCCTAATGATCAGTTTCCCTGTCAGTAGATGACAAAATTGTCTTTTGTCATAATATTTTTAACACTCCATTACTGATTTTCTAAAAATTAAAAAAAGCTTTGTCAACAAATGGTAATGAGGAAGATGCAGCGTATTTATTCTACTACCTACGTTACACTCGTTTTGTAATGAACACTGTGCCTGAATGAGCTGGATGGAAAATGAACAGGATTAATATCACTTCCATCAGTTTGTATATTTGTTCCAACATCAAATTGTATGCAGAAGAAGCTTAATTTTGTTGGAAAGCAATGCAGATTCTAGGTCCAGGGAAAACTTCCTTCTACTGTTATCTGCATAACCCAAGACTATAAGCAATGCTAAGGGGAAGATCTAAACTTGTTCCTTTGCATCTTGATTTGTAGGTATTTGAAATTGCTGATATAGTTGATCAGATGTCACCATGGGGCATGTTGCGGATCCCCCGGCCTCTCATTATGATCCGAGCATTCCGGATTTATTTCCGATTTGAGCTGCCAAGGACCAGAATTACAAATATATTAAAGTAAGCACTGCTTTTGCCTAGGTTGGGAGCAGGGGGCAGTTTGTGAAAATAATGCCCATTTTATCAATTTGGCCTACTTCTTTTTTCCCAGGCGATCAGGAGAGCAAATATGGAGTGTTTCCATTTTCTTGCTCTTCTTTCTACTTCTTTATGGAATTTTAGGAGTTCAAATGTTCGGGACATTTACCTACCACTGTGTAGTAAATGACACGAAGCCAGGGTAAGTTTTTCTGTTAATTACACTTTCATCTGAGTGATGAACAAGGATATTTGTGAATTTGAGTGTTTATGTACTTACACTTTGTGTTTTCTCAGTACTGGTCCATCCAACTTGTAAAAGGCAGATTTCAAGTCATGCTGGATGGAAAAATGTACATGACGGGAGAGTAGATTGAACACATTCAGACATTTAGAAAACCACCTCAGAATGGCCAAATGGTAATACTTTGATGAAAATGTCAAGATACTAGAGTGGCTTAGATACTAGAGGATAGTACTTTCGGTATAGGGAGAACCCTTTGCTTTTCTTATGAGGCTGATCCCTGTTGATGTATCACGTAAGGAAAGGAGTGGTACCAGCCAGAAACCGAAGGGATGCTGGCCCCAGGACATTTACAGGGCCATTTGGAGTGTGCAATTAGAGGTACAACAGTTACAGCTTTGGCATTTCAGCATCTCAAGATTGGGAGGGGCAGAATTATTGCTCCTTCTGTATTCAGACTTGGAGCAGGAATTGCTGGCTTGGTTTATGGGCACTCTTCTATAAATCACAGAAAGAAAAATTCTTGATACAAATCCTAGCAAGTTAATGTAAAACATTTTATTAAGTTCAGAGGAGATTATAAGTAGTCATTCATCTTCAAGAACATTTTAATGTTTATATGCATTTACAAACCCACTGAGTATATAAAGGGCATGGAGTTCGAAGAACTGGAAACTGCTACTTCGGCGCTTCAGGACTTTTTCAGAGTGTGTATGTGCTTGTGCAAAGGAAATGTAGACAAATGACAGCTAAGTGAATGTTCTTATGAATAATCTTGGTTATGTGACTCGTATACACTGTTTGGTTCATTCTTTTAAGTGGATATTACAGTGACACACACTTCCTGAGGTTGTCAAGAAAATTAAACGAGCGGCTTGGTGAAGGCGTTAGTTAAATGTGTGGCACGTAAGAAGCCGCTCTGCATGCTGCTTGTCTTTGCTTGGTGTCGTTCAGGTGCATGGTGAGTGTGTGCTGTGTGACTTCTGATGCCGCAACACAATGTCCTGAGCACCGCAGAGTGTGCTTGTTGTCTGTCCCTCTGCCCCGTGATGGGATGTGAGTATGCCAGGATAGAGACTTTCTTCTCAGGTGATTTTAGTGTAAGCAGTATATGCAAGGCTCTCAGAAAACAGGAGAGAATGCAGTAAGCTTCCAAAGCATTAGTGCAGTTTCACTGTCTGAATGTCAACTTCCAAAGCATTAGATATGGCTGTCCTAATTATTGTTTTTCTTAATTGGTAAGCAGTTGAATGTATATCATTTATATTTAAAAATGTGTTAGGATTGGGAACAGACACCATGTGGTAATACACAATATTTTGTTGAAAGAAAAAGCTTATTTTTCAACCTTTTAATATAATTTTTATTTTAGCATCATGTGAGTGAATCATTCATTCAAAAATATTTTTAGTTGACAGGAAAAAAAAAGTACTAACCTCATTTTCACTCCCTATTTTTCTTCCGAAATACTCTTGGGAAGTAACTTTATGATAACCACTTTCTGAGATTAGCATTTTTTTTTCTATTGCTACACTGCATCTCGTGTTTTAGTACTTAATGAATACATCTCAAAGGAATTGGTTGCTTTTCTACATCAGAATTTAAATTATTGTGGAACTTACCTCATTTTTTTCTTCTGCTTCTGTTGACCTTTCCCAATTTAATATTTTGTTTTCTAGGAGGGTAGGGGTCAACTTATATTCTTACTTTAGTGGTTAGAGTAGCTATTGGCATTTTATTTGCAGTCTTAGAAAAGCTCTCAATATTTCCAGTAAGTATAATGCTAGTTGTAAAAATTTAAAACTAAGGACATTTCAATATTACAATTACTAATCAATAATGTGTACCGTATTTTTTGTCATTGAAATATTGAAGTTAGAATATGCATTTTTATTTTATTCTGCTGACATGGTAAGCTGCACAATTAATTTTTGAATATTAAACCAATATTTAATTTTGGAGTATAGCTAATTTAGTCATGCCATATTCCTTCTTATATACTGTAAGGTTTGATTTGCTAATTCTTTTATTACAAATTAGTCCAGCTCCTTGCTTGTGGCCTGGAAAAGCAGTTGAGGACAGCCCAAGGTCTTGGGACCCCGCACCTGTGTGGGAGACCTGGAAAAAGCTCCTGGCTCCTGGCTTTGGGTCAGCTCAGATGCTGCTGTTGTGATCACCTGGGGAATGACTCAGTGGATGGAAGATCTTTTTTTAAAAGAAAGTTCATTTTTTTCTCAAGAGAAATATTGCTTTTTTAGTTTCATTGAAAACTGATTTATTCAACACATTATGCATTAAGTGCAATGTATTATATCCTATAAATGCATACAATCCACATTAATCATTTTTTTTAAATTTTAAGATTGTGAAAATGCTGTCCAACCTGATTTGGCCTCCACACATTGTAGTCTTTACCATTTAGATACAAATGACTGAATGATGTTAGCAGAGGTAGAGGCAGGCACTTGGCCTAGTGGGGAAACTCAGATTGGGATACCTCTTCCTATAACAAAATACCTGGGCTTGGGGCCCAGTGAACTTACCATTCCAGCTTCCAGCTATCACAGCGGCCAGGAGGCAATGCTGACTGTTCAAAGCAGTCAGGTCCTGCTGCCAACCAGGGGAGACCCAGGCTCAGTTCCCAGCTTCTGCTTTTAGCAGGGCCTAAGCCCTGAACATTGTAAGCATTTGATAGTACAGCGATAAATGGGAATATTCTTCCCCTCTCTTTCTCAAATAGTTTTAAACATTTTTTAAAATAAGCAAACATATATTTGAATGCCTTTTTACGTGATTAGAAAACCTGTATAAAAATCTAGACTTTTAAAAAGTATTTTTAAACAGAAGACTTAACATTGATATCCTTTAAAATTTATTTATTCCTGTTGATTTAGAGAGAGACCAAGACAGACAGCTAAACAACCTTCTAGATGCCCACAAAGACCCTATATTACAATGTGGCAGAAGCTGGGTGCCAGGAACTCTGTCCAGGTCTCCTACTTGGGTGGCAGAGCCCAAGCGCTTGCATAATTACTGCCTGTCTCTGAGGATGTGCATCAGAGAATGCAGGGATTGAGGGGGGAGCTAAGATTCCAGCCCAGACCATGTGGGTGTCCCAGTGTTCTAATCACCAGGCAAGATGCTTACCCAACAGTCAGAGTGGTTTGTGGTGGAAGAAGTTAGACTTAATGTAGTTCACCTTGCAAGAACTAGCCATGTAGCATTCATCGTTGTTTTCTTGTCTCTTCTTCTTCTTACATTATGAGGTCACTGATAAAACGTACAGTGAAGGGAGGAGAGGACATTGTGTCATATTTATCCCTTATCCCTTATACCTAGCACCATGCCCCAGCCCAGAGTAGGTGCTAGTGTCTATTTGCCAAAGGCGTCAGTCATGACATGTTTAAACGGATACTATAATAACAGGACACATTTATAAAGAAGAGGACATAAAAAAGAACAGAAGGGAATGAAAAGGGTTAATAATGTGAGTGCGGTGAAATGATTAAATTATATAAAAGCAACGTTTAAAACAGAAAAAGCAGTGAATCGATACAAATGTAGGGAGGGAAAATTGAAGGAAGCAGTGAGTAAGAGGGGTAACTGTGTGGGTGAAGGAAGAGACAAATGTGTGGAAGAAACTCTGTAGGCAGTTTCTGTTTTATTTCTTAAGTGTATGTAGGCTGCAGAATATGTCTAGCTTCTGCCATGAGTGAATATGAAAATGGAAAAAAAGAGATTGTGTGGGTGGAAGACAATGGGTGGGAAGTGAAGAACGGAGAAAAGTCTCCAGATAAGGAAGTAGTTGTGTTCTGTCTCCAACAGCACAAGAAACTAGCTTAATGTTGCTGTTTTTTTTAAAGCCAAGTCAGAAACTTGCTGATGTTGCTAGAATAGGGCATTGTGCCAGCAGGCTGAACCTAACATTGGCCCATCAGCTGTCTAACTGATTGGGATTAGATGCAGAAGCGTGCTATGAACCCGCAGCCCTGGAGTCACTGCTGTCGTACACTGTGTTAGCTGCATGCCATACTCAGTCCTGGGAAATGAGTATCACCGAAGAAATATGCGAGGACCTCTTGCACCCTGAATATTGTTCAAGCTCATTATCCTAAAAATAGGGTTCATCACGAAGAACTTCATCCATGTTGGCAGAATATTTGGTGCTTGAGACATAATAGTTGTGATGGAATGTTTCATTTTTTCTCTTTCCCAGTTTTGTAAAATCTACCCAATATTATGCACACATATGTGATTCTTAATTTATTATTTGAGAGTAGTGCACTGGCTTCATGGTAATAATGTTGATCACAAGCAGTGTTTTTATAGGTTTAAGGATTCATTTCAAGAACCACTCACTCACTACACTTCTCTTTCAATTTACAGTTTGGTATTACTGTTATAATGCCCCACACATAAGCAGGAAAACCTGTCAACGCCATTTTGCCGTTAGCTCTAAGCAAGACTTCAATTTATTTTATTTTTATATTCTCATAAAAATATCCAGACTAGAAATGAAACACCGTACAGCCCAATTCTTTAAAAACTTACTCAACTTTCTTTTGCTTCTTTGTGTGGCTTTTAAATCATGAGTTTTAAAATCACAAAATCCAGTCATTTGCCACAGCATGGATGAAGTGGAGGACGTTTTGTGTTGTAGTCAGGCATGGAATAGACTTAAGATGGTATGGCCAGACTTACGTATGGGGCCATAGAAGACGGCAGTGCAATACTGCTTATCAAACTTTGTGGGTTGGCGGGGAAAGAGAGACAGTGAGAGAGGAGGGAGTTTGTGGTCAAAGAGTTTATGGTTTCAGCTTGATAGGAAAAGCAAGTTTCAGGTTGAATGATAATGAATATTTCAAAATAACTAAGGATAAATTCAAATATATATGAACACAAAATGTTAAGTGAGACAATGGATATACCGGCTTGATCTAATCATTCAGCATAGTATG